AATGAAGAGAGAAAATCCGTGACAGTGCTTGACCAACTCAACAACCCAGCAAACAGGGGTGGGAAGGGCTAGGAACTGATCCCTGCCAAAGCACAGAAGACCAGGCTTGGGTTTCCAGAAAGGATATACCAGATAAGACCCAGAAACAACCCACCTCCACCGCCCCCCTCCCAGTAACTTTCAGTGCTCAGCTATTAGCTCCTTGTAGCCTGATCTGAGAGCCAAGTGTCTGGTACTCCTCAGAAATAGCCAAGATCCACCCTTACCACCTTTGTGAGCAAAAGCAGAGCACCATATAAAGCCAATAGATACCAGCTTTTCAGCAAAGTTTCCTAACAGGGCTTAGGGCAAAGCTGCCATCACCCTATCACCTCTCCCAGGGCTAATGATATGGTGTCTGCTGACAGCAGGGACAACACAGAGAAAATTACCTGGCTCAAATCCATCTTTACAGCGCCCACAGCCATGGCAGGACAACTCCTGGCTTTATCCTTGAGCTGACTGCCTCTCAGAGACTACTGAGAGGATAAGAGCAGGGCTGGAGCCCACCTATTTCATGAGAGAGGCTGGAGGATGTGGCTTACAGCCCAGGTGGACAGACACTGTGAAACCTGGCGGAAAGCTACAGTCTTCTCTTAATTATGCCACAAAGGAGTTTTTTGTTATTGTTGTTATTTAAAAGCCCAGATCTCGTCTTCCCATTCTCAAGTAACACAGAAGTTGGCAGAATTACACTTGCTTAAAATCCTGCCCTGGCACAGGGTCAAGGCTGACTTCCTGAAGCAGAAATCCCAGGGCATCCCAAAAATCTCCTAAGTGCTTGACTTGGGCTTTGATAACACCAGTTGGGTTGTACAAGCTTTATCAGCATTTAAATTTCTTTGCCCTCATCCTAAGCATGTTTCCTTTTTCACATAGGATTTAAAATTTCACACAGGATTTAAAATCCCCCCAAATTTTATATCCGAGCCTGCCTTCTAGTCTGGGCTGGAAAAAACCTTCAAACCTCCCACTGGCAGAAAAGGGCAAGACACCCTGCAGGCTAACGACCCTGAAGCCCCTGATACCTATATGCTCCCAAAGCTCTGGAAAGAAAAAATGGAAGTCTGGAAAACCACATGCCTGGCCCAGACCCCTCAAGTGGGCTCTGAAGGGCAGGATTCCCAGGGGACCTGGGTGCTCAGGAACCACCATCCCAGCTGGCAGGAACCTGGAGGGGTATCACAACATCACCCCAGATATCTGGGGACATTCAGCCAAAGGGCCACATTTCTCTGATGAGAACTTGATGAGAAACTGCAAGTCCACCCCACCAAGGAGGACTTGGAGTATCTATGCTCCAGTATTTCTGGAGCATAGGGAGTTCCACGGCAACATGAGGAGAAACTTCTTTGCTGTGAGGGTGATGGAGCCCTGGCACAGGCTTCCCAGAGAGGTTGTGGAGTCTCCTTCTCTGGAGGCTTTCAAAACCCACCTGGACATGTTCTTGTGTAAACGGCTTTTGCTGGGGGGTTGGATGAGATGATCTCCAGAGGTCCCTTCCAACCCCTACCACTCTGTGATTCTATGATTGCCAGCTGCCTGCACTGGTGTACCCACACTCCACCAGGTATTGGAATTAAAACCCTCCAGAGAGAAAGAGTTGGCCACATTGTTGTGGAGGCAGAAAAGGACATCCCAAGGCAAATGCTTGTAATGGATCCTCCATCCATTTTTGTGTGTTTTGGTTTGTTTGTTTGTTTGTCTTTCCCAGCAGAAATCCTGAAAAAAAGGGGTGTTTATCTCAGACTAGAGTGGGTAAGGCTGGCACCTCCCTTGTGGAGCTCCTCAGAAATAACTTCCAGTAATTACTTTCCCTAGAAACACAGATCTGCCTCCTCCAGTTTCAGGATCTTGGCAAAGCCATGATTTTTCCCCCACTTCAGATGCCTTGCATGTTAAGGTTGGAGTAGGGAAGAAGAGAAAGCCTCTGTCCCCTAAGAAACAGTCATGGTGGGAGCCCTAACAGCCAGGAGCTGCTGTGGCCACCCCAGCATCACCAAGGCTTGCACCAACCCGGGTTAGACAACACCACCTCGCCAACACCCACAGCCTGCACAAAGTATTAGAAAGAGTGGTGGAATGCCCCTCCTCCTGCTGGGGCACACAGAGCAATTTAGATGTGCTGTTCCCACCTGTCAAGTGTTTTTTAATTATTATTATTAATAGGTTTGTTATTTTTAAAAAATCCCCATATGTGAGAGCTGAGTTCAGCAAATTACCGCAGCAGAGCGTCGGTACAGAGAGACAGGAGAGCAATATCATGCTCAGTGGAATATTTAACAAGCACTGATTGCCTGGAAACCTAACTTGGTGAAACCTGCAGGAAAGAAGCAGCCTTGTAAAAAAGCCAGCAAAATAAATAAATAACCCGCTGAGAGTGGGAGGGGGGGGAGGCAGCGGGCAATGTGAATATTCAAAGCCTGCCTCCACCCTGTCTCCCCTATAGATTTGGCTGCCAGAAGTGCAATGCAGGGCTTAACTCTACAGGGACGTGCTTGCAAAGGGGCCGATTCTGTTTTTGCTGGTACCAGCAGCTCAACCAAAATCACTGCACTGGGCTGTAGACTCAGACCTGGGCTCATGGTGGTATTCAATGCCTTCAACAAATTCCCCCCTGGGCACCTCTTACAGTAGAGAATCCAGCATGAAGGTGCTGGGCTGAGGAGATGCGCAGCCCAGTCTCTGCTCAGCTGCAGGCTCCTGCTGTTCCCAGGTCAAGCGGTTTGCTGCCAGCTCTGTGCCTCAGCTTGCCACCCCGTGAATCAGAGATGATGCTCCCCTAAATGCCAACAATGGCCATTCAGGGGTTGCAGAGGGTTGACCAGAGCTAGGGGGTAAAGGTCAGCATGCTCACTGATGAGGGAAGGACATCTCCAAGGACTGCTCTGGCTCCATGACCCGTCATGGGGATAATGACAGACACCAGCGTGGGTGACACAGCTCTCCCCAGCACTATGAGCAGCCCCATCCCACACCATCACAGCCCTCTCCCATCACTTCCTTCCTGGGACTGCATGACACTTTCCCAAATCCCAAGTGAACACAGCCCTGGTGAGGGTGGTCCACAAGCTGAGTCTACCACAGCCCCCAAAGTGCTCCTAAGCTAAAGGCCACTTGATGCATGCACAAAGATTCCCAGCAAAGGCTGCAATGCCACAACTGTAGCCCACTTCCCAAGAGGCAACTCCAAGAGCATTGGCTCCTCAGCAAAGCCAAACCCACAGCTCCAAAGTGTTTTCTACCTGTGCTCTATTAACCACATGATAATGCATCCACACTGCTCAGAACACAGGAGATTACAAACACCTCTCCTGCAGTGCTCCTTAGGGAGGTTGGGAAACAGGGGCACTGAATCCTGCATGTTTTCAGTGTTGTGGGGATTTTTTTTCCCCAGATAGACTATAAAAGCACTTTTAAAAATTCAAAGCCAGCTTTTCTATTACTTGTGCCTTTGCTCAGCTTTGATTTTTTTTTTAATCCTTTCTTTTCTTTCTTTATGTGTGCAAGGCTTTTTTTTTCCTTTTATATGGGTAAAATCAGAAGACAATTAGTATTACAGTGCTTTGAAGTTCCTGTTATTTATAGATTTTTTTTTCCCTGAAATCAAACATGGGCAGATATACTGCAGTGATGGGAGTATTTTAACAAATCAAAACTGCTTTTAAGTTCTGTTGAGACAGAGATCACAACATTTTCTTCCTTAAATCACCAAAAGACCTGTTACCATTGAAATGAAAACTCATGCCTCGAGTCCAGAAAGTGCTTACACTTATACAGCCCTGTAAGGCCAGATTGACTGCTGAATTATCTTGAAAAGTTAATGTGAAAATTTTCTTTTTTCCTATTGATTTAGCGGATGTTATGCAGACATAGCTATAGAGAATTGAGAATTACACCTTCAATGTTAAGGTCCTTCTTTCACCTCACTCAATTTGTTGGGATCCTTTTCTACTGCCCAGAGGTAAACATTGGGGCAAACAATTTAGTCTCCAAATAAATACTTGTGCAAAAGTCACCTTGACCCCTAAAACACAGAAAATGTTTGCAGGGAGAAGTTTAGATCTTCTGACCAAAGGTCAGTATGTTCTTGGTCATCACCCAGAACACCAGTTGCTTCAGAGGTGCAACCGTGGACATCGATCCTCAGGAACTCGAGTCCATTAATTCTCTCCATGGCAACACACTGGGACTTGTTAGGGGAAAAAAACAAACAAACAAAAAAACACACCTCCTTTGGGAGGATAATAAAGTGTTGAAAAGGCCAAGGGTCACAATTATTGAAATCAGACCGAGAGCGCAGAGAGAAAATGCCCACCAAAATGAACTGCTTCAAGAACCCAAAATGGCTAATTATATAGAAAGAGAGACATCACACCAAGAATAACCATAATGAGCTTTGATTACACTGCGGCTTTCGCATTTTATTCTTTCAAATACCCACCAAGCTCTTTGAAATTCAAGAGTTCTCTTATGTTAACATCAAAAGGTAAAAGCACACGGAGGGTTGTGTACTTAGTCACTGCGAGAGATGATTAGCAAATTAAGTCCAGGGTTTAAGCAAAAAAGCAGGAGAGAGAAAAAATAAAAAGAAATAAAAAAGTAGTCAGCACAAAGTGCTAATTATACAGTTTTTGCACAACACCTGGCTCATTCATTAATCAGGCTCGTTTCAGTTATGGCACAGGCTCTATACAGAGCTGCTGCTGCCTAAGGAAGGAGACAGTGGCTTTGTCATTTCCCTGTCCAAAATGTGTCTGGATGAGGACAAGGCAGAGGCACGAGGGGAAGGTGTGAGGTGCTGGCAGTCTGAGACACCACTTCTCTTATATACAAGCTCTGGAAAATGACAGGCAGGATATTCTCCCTGCTAATTAATGATCTAAATATTTGATGTGGTATTCACAGCAGCACTCACATCAGGACTTTTGTCAAAGGATGTGTTTTGGTTTGCCAGCGAGAGGTAAATAATTAAGTTTCCCTGTTCCTGTTCTGAGCTCCCCAGCTGCAAGTTTGAAGAATAAATAAATAAAGACCACTCAGCAGAGTAAACGGGACCGTCTCGCCCTCTGCCCAGCAGGTTGCCAGCACAACAGCCTCCTACACAACTCTCCTGCCCAGCCTGTGCCAGCGCTGACTGGCTGCCAAGCTCCCCAGACCACCCTGCTGGAGAAAGTCACTGTCTGGGAGCAGAGCATCACCCCAGGTTGCCCCCAGTTCTGCTGCCCCCAGCCCTGACTCCAGGATACAGAGGCAGGCAGCTTTCCTCTCCCTGCTGCTCCCAGGGATGGGGCACACACCAAGCCTTGCTCCCTGTGGGTCTCGGCACGGGATGCCACAACCGCATCAAGCCCTAAAAGCACAACGGGCTCCCCAGAGGTGACCACATCTTGGAATGTGAACATGCCAATGCCAGCAGAAGGAAATGGAGATGATATTCTCAGAAGCACACCATGGAACCTAAGTAAGCTCCCCAAACCACACAGGGTTACATGACAGGGAGGCACTATTACCCATTGCTGTCCAGAGTCCCAGCACCCAGCCTGGCCCCAGGTGCCAAGGAGCTCATCTGCTGCTCCTTCCCCTCAGTGTCTGCTGTGGCCTTGGGAACAGGCTTAAAGTTCTCCCTCTGGAGGAGACAGGCAGCTAGAGGTGGGCAATGAGCTGGATTCCCTTCCTAAATCCAGGCTAGCACAGAAAGGAAAGAGAGGAAAGAAGAAATCGTTTTGTTGGGGTTTTTTTTTGAAACAAGGCCTCTGTGTTGCTTATTCCCTCCTTTGCTCCAGCCTTCCCTCCTTGGGTTTTCTCACATGGTCCCATCCCCATACGTTTGGGGACTCTCACTATCTTTAATCCACTGAGCCTTGGAGCCTGAAATACGTGCAACTGAACCCCAAGGGGATAAAAAACTTGCCCAAGGTAATTCGAAAAGTGCATGGCTGAAACAACAACCCAATGGCAGTTTCCTTCACTGTCTGCGCAGTAAAACAAAAACAAAACAAAACAAAAAATTACCTCCAGAGCTACTATTCACCATCTCCTCCTTTCTGGCCTCTTCTCCCCTTTTCTATTTCCCTTTTTCAGGACACCCATCCCCTATTACCTGGAGATTTGTATGTATTCACAAGCATAGTAACACATGCATTTATAAATGCTGACTACATCATCTGCAGAGATTTGGGCATTCAATTAAGTTAGCTTTTCTTTTCCCCCTCCTCTTCTTCCAGCTGGCAAATGGTCAGAGAAAAGATCATGAAACTTTTAAATTAATTCATTATTCAACACAGTCCACTAGCTTTTCTCAATAGCTCTGACGATGCAAATTGTTCCTAAACGAACCGTCCCGAACGCTGGCAACGTGACTTGCGTCAGGGGTGCTGCAGAGGCCACGTGTTGGTGCTGGTGCCTCTTCTTCACAGGTCAGAGGACTTGCATCCTCACCAAAAGCCACATGCAACACACTGAGCCTGCAATACAGCTCAGCCTCAGCACTCGGTGAACATTAAAGCTCTCCAGCACCTAAGAAAAGTGTAGGAACAGGAAAATCCTTCCTGCTCGTATGTGGTACCTGCAAGAGCTGATTGCTCCCCTGCTAGAGGTTGCCTCCATCAGCATTACCCCCTGCCATTCCTCTGTGCTTACCTGGGGTCCTGTAAGTAACATTTCCTTTGCAGGGACAGTGCTCTGTCAGCCATGGCTTTGGACAAGCTAAGCAACAGCCCTTTGCCCTGTTCCTTGCTCCTGCCACGGTGGATGACTTAGAATATTCTATTTTGCAATGAGGCTGGAAAACCCAACTTGCTGGAACACGAGAAACCAGGTTTGCAACCCAAACTCTTCTACCAGCCCCAGACAAATCACCTCTCTCTGTTCCTCAGCCTGCCCATCTGTCACCCGGGTTATACTAAGAGCAAACTGTGGAAATGTACTGGTGAGAAAAGGGCAGAAGGGGTGCCCGTTTTACTCACTGCTGTGCTCAAAGGGCTTGGAGACACTTGGCCACAGTCTGTGCCAAAAGGCACAAAGCAGTATCAGGAGGACAGGGTTTGTTTTGACTGGCCATGGAAAATGATCTGTGTTGTTATAGCCACCATGGGATGGAGTTATGTGGAAGATCTAATTAAACTAAGCATTTGTTGAGCAAGGGAAGAAAAAAGCCAGAGCAGTCAGAAGCCACAGCAAATTAACCTACAGAGGCTGAAGAGGCAGATGAGCTCTCAGCTGGGTCAAAAAACAGGCAGGGATGTGCCAAAACAAGCACAATCATGGCTAGAGAGGAGCAGAGCAGATGCCACATCACCAGTGCGACTTGCCACCAAGGACTGGTACCTCTAGGGCCAGCTGGTTCAAAGCAAGCCTCTAAGTACTACATGCAAGAGGAAAATGGTGAACCCTGATGCCAAGAGGCATGTGAGCGGGGAGGAGCAGTGCATAGGGTCAAAGATGTGGAAATCACATGCAACTGGGTAAGGAAGGGAGCAAAGCCAAATCATCACGTCAAGAAAACAAGAGTAAAAAGGAAGAAAGTCTTTTCATAGCTGGAACTTGGAAACTTCAGACGGCACTTCCTAGAGGAACAAGGAAAAATACAAACTACCTGTATTTCTAACCTTGCCATCACTGCAGAGAACAGTTCTCTAATGAAGCCAGATATGGGGCATCCAGGCATTAGGGCTGTATTACGGGTCTAACATCTCTCCCGTGACATTACTCATGCTTGTACTTGCCAGGACAGTCAAGTGCTGAGTTATGAGGAGAAATGGAATTAAAGTCTCTCCTTGCACTTTAAATGTTACAAGCATCCTGTATCTCAGGGGCTAGAGGACTGCACTTGGCTCTGCTTTGCCATCTCTGTTATAAGGGGTTCTGGAGAACAGTAAACCTATGCAAGACACTGTAAAGATAAAAGAGAAGGTCCAGGACCAAGGAGGTGTCACACAGCAGCAATGGTCAGTGCTATGCACACCTGAAATACACACACCCTAGAGAGAGAAAGCAGTGATAGATTATTAAGAGTGAAGGAGATGGGACCAGGCATGAAACCATAAAGCAAAGCAGGACTTCAGTTTCAGGACTGTCAAACTCACTTGTGGCTGGCTCTAGGTGCATTCACTTGAGGAAGGATGCTCTTCTCAGAGAAGAGCCCAGCAAGGATGTGACGGTGAACAGAGCACAGCTGAAGCCTCCCCCCAGCCAGCAACCCAGGACCAGTGATGGCAAGGGGTCCTGGGGATGCCAGGGCTTAACTGACAAGGCTTGCAGCGGGGCACAAACATTCACAATGTGGGCATGGGACACAGCTGCAAAACACTTGCTACTGGCACAGAGCAGAGAGTACACTCAAGCCTGCTATAGAGGAACCCACCAGCCAAGACCTGCAGATAGACTCCTCAAAGGTGTGGTGGACACATCTCACTAAATCTTCACACAATGGAACTTGTAGACTTAAGGCACACATTTGGATTAAACGCAGCTTTCAAAAACCTGCAGTGAAAATTAAGCCTTTAGTCTATCCACTACAGCAAAACCAAAAAAATGAAGGAATGGCCACATGCCCAGAGGAGTACAGAAACCATCCTTGAAAATGCAGTCTGCCTGTGCACCGTTAGGGCTTCTCAATTAACAAGCTTTTCTGGCACTTGATGGGAGAAGCTCAAAGAGCAGTACCAGAGCAGACATCTGTGGAATAAGAGCTGTCCCTAAAGAACTGGGACAAAATACAGCTGAGTGCTGACACCCAGCTGGATATAAAACCACTTATCCCAGACTGTCTAATCTTTTGCCACTCCCTCAAGAGCACCCCATGCTAGACTCTGCAAAAGAAGCACAGCTACTTTCTTCCCTGAGTATCTGACCATAAAACCTACTTCTCAGAGACCAGCTTTCACACTAATTTCTCCCAATAATCATCTGAGGCCACAGCTAGTAGGTCCAGTCCCGTTGCTACGGTGAGTGCAAAGAGATTGTGCCTTTAGGCACACAAACCTCCAGCCCACTCAGCCCTTTGTAAGAGTGTTTATAAACAGGAGCATTGCCAGCAAGCCAGGAGCTCTTACCTGCGGATGGTCCTCAGCAGGGTTGACCTGGCCTCGTTGTGGAAGGTGATGATGACACTGGTTGGGGGAAGGTCCTGGCCATAGTGCAAAGTTGTACACCTGGGGAGGGGAAAAAGAGGAAAAGGCTGTTCAGGAACTGGAATTCAAAATGGGGAGCTCACTTCATGTAGGCAGCAGAGTCCAACAGTAGATAGTTGTCCAGATGCTATTAAAAAAAGGAAAAGAAGCGTTTTTCTGTGTGAATCCTTTCTGAAGGAGCCCAGAAACTGCCAACTAAGTCACTGAGGATTAAAGCAGCAAAAAGAGCTTAATTGTCCATAATAGGAGGGGATGAGAAAGGAGCCACCCAGCTTGCAGCCCTCTTCTCTAACCATTGTTTCACAGCTAGCACACCCTCCTAGTGCCACCAGTCTCCCCCACCAACATGTAATGGGAAGATAAAGGCCTTCCCTTTTTATACCAGTTAGAGCAACATTACCTTCAGCAAAGATGCTCCTAGCTGACATTAGCATGATGGGATCAGAAATGAGTCCTTCATGCCAAAGGTAAGGTACAAGGGAGGTGCTTGCAGAAGGCCAACTGCAAGTCTTATGCTGCCTCTGTGGCTTTGTGAGCTTCATGGGGCTTTTCAGTGTTGTCACAGAAGTACTGGGTTATTGTGATAAGTTTTTTTTCTTCCTTAAATTGAGGCAGGGGCTGGAGCACTCCCACACCCACCTGGCTGGTGGCACTGGCGGAGGGAAGAGCCTTGTTGCATCTCCGGCTCCAAGCTGCCTCGCTCACGCCTCCCGAGGCAGCAGTTTCCACCAGTCCACTGCAAGGAAAGCCAAGTCCTGTGTCTAAATCGATTGTTTCCTTATTCATTCTGCCTTAACGGCATAACCTGACCACACAGAAGATTGGGATTTAACACTTTCCAGTCCACCCTGTAGAAGATGAAAACCCACAACTGCAACCACAGTCCCTGCTGCCTCCTTCCCAGGAGGAAACATTGTAGACTCTGTAATTACCTTGACCTTTAACTGATTAAATTTGTGGCTTTCATAGACCAACGCCAACATATTCCTAGCTCAGGAAATCCAGACACACCTCTTAGATCCGTGCCACTCTTAACCTGTGATGGCCTTAAGACGACACACTAGTGGCAGGAAGCCACCCTATGCTCAGCCTGAGGAGCCACTGTGTCCCTTCCCATCCGTAAGTCACTTGCCTGCCTGCTCTTGTGTCACTGCCCAGGTGCTACTACTACCATCCTCAAATGAAGCAGGAAAGAGGACTGAGCAACCATCACTTTACTCCTCTAAAGCTCTGGACCACGGTATCTGCAAGGGGAAGTAAAAACAGATGGAAAAATTGAGGTGGGGATAGGGAGAAGAAAGCAAGTAACATTAGCCAAATAGTGCTGGTTTATGCTATCAGCACAGCATGTTACACCTCAGAAATGCCAAAATGATTGATACATTCTTTTTAATGAGTGTCTTTCGTTTTTCATTTTGAAATTGCATTTCTGATTATTTACAAAGTAAATGAAATGAAAGGAAAAAAAGCATGCAACAGGTGAACAATTCCAAAGATTAAAAAAACATTTTGGGTGGGACAACATATTTGCAAGCTCACACTAAACCAGTTGCTGCCTTCTCTCATTAAAACCCTTCCTGAATCCTCCCTCAACTTGAGACAAGCTGATTTCTCTTTACTACCTTGTTCTTTCAACACAGTCAGCAACCCCCAAAATTCATCATTCAACCAATTCTAATTCTAGGTCCATCCTCAAAGGACACTTAATTTGCATGGCCTCTGCATGCAGGAGAAAATTCAGTCACATTGCCCTGTGTGACAACATCCTCATTCATCAAAGTTACATCTCAGGGATGCTAAAACCAGAGGATTTCTGAAGTACTAAACAGCACTGGGTCGTGCCCTGAGCTGCTCGTCTGGGTCACCATGGCCCCTCACATCATTCAATAACCAACTTCAGCTGAACTTTCCCAACCTGATATGATGAGAAAGAAGCTGCTGCTGCTCGGTGCCTTTTTTGCCAGGCTCAGGCTCAGCTCTCACTCGCTTTGTGGAGCTGCAGGGACAGACTATGACAATGGCTCTGCCCGTGCTATTTATACGCCATTATCTCCTAAGCGCTCCCAGATGCGTGTCTTTCCACCCACTTCCAGCGTGGCACCAGGAGAGGTTCTGAGGAGCCAACAAGGGAAGCTATTTCTGGAGAAGAGTGAAAGAGGGTGGAAAATACAAAGTCATCAATACCTGACTTATGTTACTACAATAGTTAAGGAGCTAATAAATAAGCTGCAGTGGATCCGTGCAGTATCACCCACGGGTGGGACCACTGGGGATACTGCAGGCTGGCTGAGCCTGCCAGCAGTGCGATGAAGGCTCTTCGTGTGTAACAACTTGTTTTTAGAACTCCAGATGTCTACGTCCCAGAGCAGCCTAACTAGACAATAGGCACGTGGGAAATACTGAAATGTCATACACGAGCACCTCCAGAGCTTGGTCCCTCGCTCTGTGACTCACTTGACTTCTGTTTAATGAGGCTGGTCGCATCCCAAAGATGGGACTGATGACTGTGCTGCTCCTACAGAGCAGGCAGGAACCTGGCAGCACCCCCAAGCCTCACTTTGCCTCTGTGACCGGCACCTACAACGCAGGGGGGACTCACCAAGAACAGCCTGAAAAGGGTTAGGCTGAGCTGCTGCATCTGCCAGTGAACCTCCAGGATCCCTGTGTGGCCTTGACTCTGCCCTTACCCAGGATTTTAGCCCTGGGAACCCTCCCAGAGTTTCCTCCAGTTTCCCCCTCCCTCCCTTTTTTTTTTTCCTTCTCCTTTTCCCCCCCAGTGTAACTATAGCTAAAGATCCTGGCTCCCCAGAAGGCAGATTTCAGTTTAAGTTGTTGACAACAAGTGGTTTTTTGGCACTTGCTTGGAGGATAAAAACCACAGCTTGGAAAAGCATTAAATCCAGCATGTCCAGAATTATTTTGTGTGACAATTACATCTGGGGTAATTTCAATTTAATACCTCACTGCAAGTGAAAATTGCAGCATGCAGCCCTAAAATTGCTGTAATAATGAAAATAAACCCGCTAAGAGCTGTCTGTGCTACCTCAGGCTGTCACTGGATAAATGTTTTGTGCTGCTTATGGCATTTCATAGGTCATCCAATTGCCAACAAGAACCGAAACCAAAACCGACACCCACAACATTTTCAGGAAACCAATGATAGTTTGAGTTTTGGTTGGTTTTTTTTTTTTTTTTTTTTTTTTTTAAGTTGTTTAAAAAAAAAATTTAAAAAGTTATAACTGCATTGCTTATATTTGCAGTGTGTTGAAACTCACTGGCTAATGTAATTTAAAGTTCTATGCTTTGAAACCTTGCAGCAGGAGTGAGGAGCAGTCTTAGCACGGAAACACTGCCAGGCTCAGCTGCCTCCAATGTGGGCTGCTCCACCAGCTCACAGCATCTAGTGGGGCAAAGGAAGACAGAAGCTAGGCTGGCCTGCCCTAAAAACCCCAGAAAGGGCATCCAGCCAGAGAAACAGTTATTATTTCCTCCTGCAAACCCAGAAGTCCAACTTAGATTTGATGGGAAGTTTCACTTTTCTGTTTCAAGGATATTTCCCACTCAAATTGGAAATGATTTCACAATCAGAAAGTTAAGAAAGGGGCATTCTGGCTTCAGACACCTTAAGAGTCACCCTTGGAAAATCCCAGCCTAGACAGGATGCCCACTGTATGTCCTTCAGGGTGGAAGGAGCAGTGTGTCTCACCTCTGTGTCCCCACAGGTGACTAAAAGCTCAGGAATAAACTATGGTGCACCCATTTGTGGGGTGCCTTTCAAAAGGCAGACTTAAGTCATAGGGTGCCTCACCAAAACAAAGCCCATGTCGGAAATACCACTAGGCAGCACAATGGTAAAGACTAAGTCTGAACAGAGATGTACCTGTTCCTCAGTCCCTCCCATGGCTCACCCCTGGGCTCATCCAGAGTGTGTTTTTTGCTTGACATCAGCCATATCATGCCCATACAGCTGCACTGTGTAGCACTGTGAAACTCACCTCTCAGACTCAGCCTCACCTCTGCTCCTTAAGTTCCTTCAACAGATAATTATCCTCACCCGATTTTCCCAACTTCCTCTGCCAGGCTTCTGCTCATTCTTCTTTGCTGCTTTGATGGCCATCACTTGCCAACAGCTCTGCTTTGAATTTTTAACGTTTTTCATGAAGTCCAAACCCTCCACAGCTCACAGCTTCCAAAGCGCTCTCTGCATATTTATTTCAAACGGGCAGCTGCATCACACAGAGCTACACCATCTTTCAACTCCCTCCTGGCTCCTCTCTTTGCCTTGGAAACACACTGGAAAGCAGCCGCATCACCACACATCTAAACCATGAGTATGTGGGTCTGTCTCTACACTGTGGACTCACAGGGCTGTCCCTCTCACATTGTCCCAGGATACAGGGACCTGCCATCAGAAACATTATGGCTTCACACCACCACTGATGGACAAACCTACAAGCACTTTGGATTTCAGATGACATTCCTCAAGTCCAACTAGCATAGATTCTATGATCTTCAGCACCACCATGCAGTGTGTGCATGGGCTGGCACTTGAAGTCATGCAGGAGACAGCTGCTAGCAGGAGCAGGCTGCTTGTACATCCTGCACCTGGGGTTGGGTCTTGGACAAAGACCTCCTGAGAAAGCTCTGGGGGTTCCTCCATAATGTCAAGAGCTTCGATGCTGACTACCTCACCAGGACAAACCACAATTTGAGCATGGATATCACAGTTCAGAGCACCTATGTGACCTTTGTAGAACAACAGGGAGAACAGTGGCTGAAGGGATTTCCACCAGCTACAGACCCTCTTGTATCTACCCTGGTCCTGAAGTTCCACCTTGGGCTGGCTGTGACCACGGGCAGGCTGGTGCTACCAAAACACCAAAAGGTCTAGAGAAAAGAGAGGCTGAAAGAACAGCTGGAAGGTGGAGGACTCTGGAAAGCAGCTGTGCTAAAAAGAAAGAAACGAAGGGACAAGGAGTCAAATGTCAGCTAGTGATGCCATGTGATTGCAGGGAACATCA